AGCCTGATGTTTATTTGTATCGGGACTGAACCAGCTTTAGGAATAGGGAGAAGGTGATATGGTAGAGCCACCTGTGCCACACCTCCCATTTGGGATATGAGCTGAATGGCATTTTTCCAGACCTAAAGATCTAGACCACTAACATTCCTGCACAGCAGCTCTGCGATAAGTGGAAGAGAACCCGTCCAGTGTACAGAAAGAGAGAGATACTTAGACAAGAGACAGAAACTCAACTACAAACAAGAGTGAAAGCAAAATAAGTTACCTATGGGCCAGAGTCACCTATGGGCCAGAATCTCACCTGCTACAAATGGACATAGATCCACTGAAATCAACACCTCTGAGTCTCGTTTACGCTAAGGCCTCTCTACCTCGTTGCACTTCCAGGGTGATGTAAAGCATCTTAGGATAAGAATTGGGGCCCATGGAACTAGCTCCATTTACACCACCTCTGCATCTGGGCCACAAGAATCTTGTTTTCGGAAGCCTCTCACCTCATAATAAGCCCAGAAACCAGCTTCCCGGGTGTAAGGGCCTGAAGACCCAGCCCCAGATGCTGGGGCACCGACAGATGTGTCACTGCCAGTAAGTCGAAAGGTCCGCCCGTAGGTGGGGAATCCCATCACGAGCTTCTCAGCGGGGACGCCGTTACTATGCCAGTACTCCATGGCGAATTTCTGCAGAAATCCAAACAGAAAACCCGTTTGCCACCAGGGCCCATTTCTCCCAGCGCCCTCTTGGGAAAATCAAAAGGGAGTCTGCTGCCTGTCCCCTTACGCAGTTGAAGTACTTGAAGTCCCCCTGGTCAGCAGAGCCTACATAGAGTGGGCTGTTGTGTCCCGTGAAGCGGTCCCAGCCTCCGTGGAAGTCGTACGTCATCACGCTGATGAAATCCAGAACCCTGGTTTCGATCAAATAAATCAACAGAAAAGAAACAAGCAGGTTGGAAATGTGATTTCCTGAAGGACTAAACGAGTCAGCAGGCAGTATGAAGGATGAACATGATTTGGGGGGCTTGAATCTCCATTGTCCTGCACCTTATGCTGCTGTTTATGCCCACACAGAGGGCATATAACTGCTACCTTTGTGATCTGATCGTGTTTTGCACCCACCTACTTTGCACAGGTACTAATGATGACGCAAAGGGCATGAGAACAGAGAACCAGACCAAGAACATAGTAAGCACAAGGTGAGAACCGGTCCACTCACTTCCCTATCTCTGCAATTTCATATCCAGCATCAATAGTTCCTTTGCCAGCAGATACCGCTGCGGTAAGTAAAAGTCTGGGGCGTCCAGTGCTTGCAGCCTCAGCTTTAAAGGCTTCCAGCATTTCCTGAAAAAGGACATGAGGTCATTGGTCATTAGCAATTCTGGTTAAAAAGTCATTCATGTTCAGCTGTGAATAGTGATCTAGAAACGTCCCAGCAGCCTGATCCTTCCTATAAATTCCTAATGATCTTCCCAATGTTCCTTCCACGGCTGATTGTACCCAAACCCTTATAAAGGTGGAAAAAGATCTTACATCAGGTCTAGCACCATATTTGCACAATAGCTGCACTCAAGGAAGTAAAAAGGAACAAAAGTCATGCATTGCCAATATAAGCACTCCTGATACACAATTCAGTGGTTCTAATCTGCCTCACTCCAGCTCACATCAGGAACAACTATGATCACATGTTGGATACTCACCTGAACCAAGATGGTGAAGCGGTGTTTGTCCTCGGGGGGGCTGCCTCTAGAGCCCGGGTATTCAAAATCCAGGTCGATCCCATCAAACCCAAACTTACGGAGGTACACGATCACCGAGTCAGTGAAAGTTTTACGATTGGCTTGTGTGGAAACCATCTCAGTGAATCTGGAAGAAGATCATTCTTAGGCAATGCAGCTCGGCCGGAGGGTCATTTTTGTTTTTTGAGGTTTGGTTTTGTTGTATGAACACATGCAACAGCACACTTGTTCAGTTTCCCTTTCATAAATGTAATTGTCCTGATGTATTACAGTCTAATTAAAACCCACTTCCATTAATCACCTCCATTTTTGTCACTAGCAAATATATACCTGAGAATCCACTATTAATCAGTTATCTCCACCAAACTCGAGAGTATGAAAACCTTGTATTTATGTTGGTCTGCCCACATCTTTATCCTCCTCTTTTACCACCATGCAACTATCCTCACCAAGATTCATCACATCCCATTCTCTACCACATCGTGTGTACACTGTCACATTCTGTGCTTGATCTCTTTTACTCAGAACACCTCTAGTCCCATTCCTACTTATTATCTTCACCATTGGTTTGATCCACCAGCCAAGGAAATCTATGGAATGGCTCCCACTGGATCATGGTTAGAGCCCTGCAAACCCGCACCTATCCAGGACCCATTTTTGCAGATACAAAGTTTTGTCACCATGCAGTATCATTGCAATACCCTTCTCTGTTTAATGTTCCCACTAACCACTTGGGATTTTCAACCCTAGTAATATCCATCTGAACTTTTCATAACCGTCCCGTTACCCATTCCCAGCAATCGCCTTCCATTCGTCTTATGAAGGCTGAATCACCATGTCACTGTGTTTCCCTAATTAATCACCTTGCGTCTCTCTCCTTCTTCAACCCTTCCCCCTTTTCACCAGCCCCCACAGCATCATCAGTGTCAGGTCTTCAGCTGCCCAGTCACTACTGCAGTTTACATCTGGTCATTCACATCATCATGTGCCTAATCCTGTCTCCAGGGAAGTCAACAGTGAGGCTCCCATTGACGCCCAAGGAGCATTTGGAGGCTGTCAAGATCACAGCCAGGGATGTAAAATCCCATTTAATTGGTTAACTAGTTGAACAATTGTTTAATCAGTTAACTGATTAAAGGGGGCAGGCAGAGCGCTGTAGCGGCCCCCTGCCACAGGCAGGAGTTGCACCAGCAGGGCTGGAGCAGCTCCCACCTGCGGGCCACCTAGTCACATCGTGGACAGAGGCTGTTCTATCCAGGAGCAGCCCCTGTCCATGGCGGGCCCCCCAACAGGGCTGGCGCAGGCAGGGAGGGAGCTGCTCTAGCCCCCACCTGTTAATCAGTTAAACATTCCCAACCCTTAATCTCAGCATCATCTTCACTGTGTTTGTCACCAAATCAAGGGGAAAGTTCTCACTTCTGAGTGCCAAAGTTCCACCCTCCGATAGCCAGGCTAGTGACGAGTTTGTCGTTCCTGTGACACAAGAAAAGAAAAGGGAATGTTAGCCATCAGCCGTCACCTTGTGGTGTTTGAGACTTGGCTCGGTTGTGAACTTTTACATTATTATCCTCGGGGGCACCAGCTCCGTGGATGCTCTGGGGCTGGAGCACCCCCGGGGGAAAAGTAGTGGAAGCAGAGCCCCCCCTCCAGTACCAAACTCCCCCTTCTGTCTCCCTCCCCACAGGTCTCTTGCGCATGGGCAAAACCTGCTGACCAACTCCTCCCCCTCCCTCCCAGTGCTTCTGGAGCCCCATGAACAGCTGATTCGGGATGTTCAGGACACTCTGGGAGGGCAGGAAGAAGCGGGAATGGGGCGCACTCAGGGGAGGAGGCAGAGTGGGATGAGGCAGGGTGGGGAGGGGAACTTGGGGAAAGGGGTGGAATGAAGGCAGAGTGGGGACAGAGCTAAGGCAGGAAGAGGCAGGGTGGTGGTTTGGGAGGAGAGGGCAGAGATGAAGTGGAATGAGGCCTTGGGGTGGGGCTTAGAGGATGGGATGGACTGAAGGCAGAGCGTGGGGGGGTGTCAAGAATCCCCCAGCTGGAGGGGAAGTCAGTACCTATGATTATCATTATTTTGCATTAAGAAAATCTATTCAGGTCTTTTTGATTGTCATCATTCACTATTGGTATTACAGTGGTGCCAAGAGGTCTCAAGCCAGCTTAGAGCCCCATTGCGCTAGGTGCTGTACAAACACATAGCAACAGACAGACCCTGCCTCAAAGAGCCTATGGTCTAAACAGACAAGACACACATAGGGTGGGACAAAAAGAAATGTTATTAATCAATTTCACAGATGGGAAAAGTGAGGCACAAAGAAAGCTCAAGTCTGGCAGAGCTGGGATTTCAACCTAGATCTCCCAAGTTTCAATGCAATGCCTAGCTTCAGCCATCCTCACCTCCTCTTTGGTTTAAATTGTGTTTTCGTAAAAAAAAAAAAATACACTTGAACTAGGACTCTTGTGTCAGATCCTGTTCCAGCCATGAGTATCCCAAAGCATCCAAAATATACTCATCTGAAAAGGGGGTTAAATACAAAGTATGACTTTTTAGGACTTGATCATGGAATCCTGACACATGCTAGGTGCATCTTACATGAGTAATTCCACCAAAATCAGTGTAACTACTTGAGTGAATAAAGTCCCACGAGGGTTGTGAAATAGAGCCCTTAATGAAAGCATTGTGGCTAGGTATCTGTTAAATTATTCCTTTTTTGCAACAAAGAAATTCTGTCTTGTTTCTCTGCCCTCTTTCTTCCATTTCCCCTGACAATAAGAAGTATTTTTTAAAGCAAGATTTGCTTTTTGTTTGTTTTAAATCTTGTACATTGGAAAGTGCTGACCGTTTCTTCAATGCTTGAAATTCTGGGAAGAGTCTGTCTTCATCATTCCATTCATAGGGCGCGATCTTATTTTGATTCATAGTTGCAAAGGCGTAGATTAAGTGGGTGCAGAGATTTGGGTCCACATTGTTTGGGAAATACTTGGCAGGTTCTGGCCTGTACTGAGACCAATTAGTGAAGTAGCACACAAGTTTGTAAGCAGAGCCTGGCGGAAGAAAAGTAAATCACATATATTAAGAAGGAAACATTTGTTTATTTCTTGATGGTGGCATCAGGTATTGAGTTGAATCGAACATGTGATTCTCCTTTCACCAATGTTGGTGCAGATTGGGGGAAAATCCATTGATGTCAATGGAGCAAAACTAGGGTAACAAGAGGAAATATGAGCTTTTTCTTGCACATATTCTGATTGCACAAATAGATGTGCCAATCCTAAGTATGAATGCGGATTTCATTTTTCTGCTCACAAATTCTGCATATGTAGAGCTACCGTGGTATGTATATTTTCTGCATCTGCATTTACATCTACAAATCAGTCACATATCCCATTGAAACAACCTCCATCCACATGTTCCCAATGACAAATCATAGAATCATAAAACTGGAAGAGACCTCAAGAGGTCATCAAGTGCAGTCCCCTGTCCTCACGGCAGGACCAAGGACCATCTAGATCATCTATGACAAGTGTCTGTCCAACCTACTCTTAAATATCTCCAGGGATGGAGATTCCTCAACCCCCCTAGGCAATTTAATCCAGTGTTTAACCACCCTGACAGGAAGTTTTTCCTAATGTCCAACCTAAACCTCCCTTGCTGTAATATAGCCCATTGTTTCTTGTCTTATCTATCCTCAGAGGCCAAGGAGAACAATTTTTCTTCCTCCTCCTTGTAACACCCTTTTAGATATTTGAAAACTGCTATCCTGTTCCCTCTCAGTTTCTTCTGAACAAAACAAGCCCAATTCTTTCAGTCTTCCCTCACAGGTCATGTTTTCTAGACCTTTCATCATTTTTATTGCTTCTTGTCTGGACCTTCTCCACATCTTTCTTGAAATGTGGTGCCCAGAACTGGACACAGTACTCCAGCTGAGGCCTATTAGTCAACTGTGCTTTTGATTGTTCCCTCATCTCATTTAATACCAATTTGCACAGAAGATGCAGGCTCATTCTTCAAGTCAGGGATTGTTGGTTATAATGAGCAAAAAAGGGATGGGCCCAGTTAAAGGGAGTCATTAAAGAATAATCAAGAGGGACCACTGAGTCAGATCCTCAGCTGCTGTGAATCATAACTACACCGAAATGAAGCTACACCGCTTGACACCAGCTACGGCTATGTCTACACTGGCGCGATCTTGCAGCAGAGCTATGCAAATGAGGCTAAGCGTGGACTATCACCGAGCCTCATTTGCATATCTAATGAGCCACCATTTTTGTGGAAAAGGCTCTTGCGCAAGAAGGAGCTGTCTACACTGCCCCTTCTTGCACAAGAAAAACCCTCTTGCGCAATGCCGCTACGCTGATTATTTTCAGGAATAAGGGCATTGCACAAGAGGGCTTTTCTTGCGCAAGAAGGGGCAGTGTAGACAGCTCCTTCTTGCACAAGAGCCTCTTCCGCAAAAATGGCGGCTCATCAGATATGCAAATGAAGCTCGGCGATATTCCACGCTTAGCCTCATTTGCATAGCTCTGCAGCAAGATCGCGCCAGTGTAGACATAGCCTACAGGTCTGGCTGCCTGTTCTTTCCAGTTGTATTGGAGCTTTATGGGCTCCTTGTGCACCAAAAGAAAGGCTAAGATGCTCTTACCCAGCTGCAGCTGCAGCAGAACGGCCAAACCTGCAAAAAGGAAAGAGAATGCATTAAAAATAAAGGTGACTGGAGCCTGTCCATGCTTAAAGCAGTCCCAGAGGAACTAAAACTATGCTGAGCACATTGCTACCTGCACACCTGCTAGGAGAAGTTCTAGCACACGCTGTCCCTGGGCAAAAGGCTGGTGCCTCTGAGACCAAGCACCCTGAGAAGTTACAGCCTGACTTAATCAGCAAAGGCAGAGGGAGTCACTCACCGACACACAGCAGCACCTTTCCCATCTTGCCTTCCCAGTGAATGTCCCACGGGGGGATCTCAGAAGTGCTTTATGTGGCAGAGGCAAGTCCTTATCAGCGTGGAACCCGCACACCTGCATTCAAGCCAGCAGAATGCACCCCTCCTTCCAACCACAAGCAAAATAAAACACACAAATAGAAAAGTTCGTTTATTCAAGGGCATCAGCCCTCCAATGCCAAGGCTGGTGGAGGGAGAGGGAACTAGTCCCCTTCCCCTTCTATTTATGTAGGGAAGTGGAGGAGAGCACCACCTGAATGTACAAGTCCCAATCTCCTCTGGGTACAATCTTCCCCTCCCCAAGCAGAATGAAGCTCCAAACATGGTTTGGAAGGAACCAAACTAAAACAACAAATGGTCTGGCAGCACTTTATAGACTAACAAAACATGTAGATGGTATCATGAGCTTTCGTGGGCAAAGCCCACTTCTTCAGATGACCAGAGTTTTGAGTTTAGGATGTGCAGACCCAAAATAAATGGGGGGGGGGGGGAGGGGAAGAGAGGGGAAGAGACAGGGAGCAGAGGATATAGAAAATCAGGAAGGTAGAGGGAATCTCTCCTATTTATTTTGGGTCTGCACATCCTAAACTCAAAACTCTGGTCATCTGAAGAAGTGGGCTTTGCCCACGAAAGCTCATGATACCACCTACATGTTTTGTTAGTCTATAAAGTGCTACCAGACCTTTGTTGTTTTTTTCTGTACAGACTAGTTCAGCTACCCCCTGAAGCTTCCAAACTAAGATGTTATCCCACAAAATATTATGGCCTAGATCGGGGTGGGCAATAATTTTCGCTGGGGCGGGGCACATAATGAATTTTGGTATGTGGTCACAGGCAGGCACACTCCCCAGAAGGAGCGGAAGGGGCAGGGCGGGGGACTAACCTCACCCCAGAGTTGTCTGGAGCCAAGGCTTTGAGTTAAAAACACAGCAAAGGGCTTGTGGCTCCTGGCCCTGCTGCCACCACATTGCCTGACAGCCGCCCGGGATTGCTGCAACCATTTAAAAGGCTCGCAGCTCTGGCCCCTGCCAGGGTAGCACCGTGACCGGGAGCCATTTCAAGAGGATCCTGCTGCCTGAGCCACTGCCTGGAAATTCAGTGGCACGGGCAGGAGGATACGAATAGCAATGGGCCAGATGCAGCCAGATGAAAGTGTTAAACGGGCTCCTGGGCTGCGTCTTGCCCAGCCCTGGCCTAGATGCTGCAGATGGGGATGCACATGTACCACTCCAGGAGGGATGGGCTAAGGTTCATTACCCTCCTTTGCACATCCCTTAATTCCAGGCGGCCCCAGGCTGACGAGAGGCCAGAATGGCAGCCAGGGCTCATCAGAGTGCAGAGAAGCCCTGACCACTCCCATTTCTCCCAGCCCTGCCCTCTGTGCCAGACACTGAGACCAAAGGCAGCATAGGGACCGCTGCTGGCCCTTGGCACCGGAGAATACCCCTATGCTGGGATGATCCTGCCCAGGGCAGCGATGGCAGTTTTTCAACGATCGGACCTCTCTGAATCTGAATCTCTGACCACTGAAGTTCGCGGGGATGCGCCTGTACACGCCCATAGGGGTGCATTCAGGCTCTGCCTCCTATTTCCCATTTCACATCACTTGTCTATTGAACGCCCAGCTCCAACAGGGAAATCCTGGTCCCTTTGAAGTCCCTAGCAAAACTCCCCCGACTGCAGTTCAGCCCAAGTACCCAGCCTCTGTTTTGCTTCTCAGTTTCCCAGCTTGCCTGGAAGGGCCGCAGTTGACGTACAAAACTTCAGAGACGCTGCCCCTCCTTCTGCTCAGAACCCTTAACCCTCCTGTCCTATTGGCAACACATGAAACGAGAAGGACTGCACAAGGGGGTGGGTACAAGGTGTGCCAAGAGAGGGTCCCTGATAGGACCCACGCATGCTGGGTGCAAAAACCAACACCATTAACCTTCAGAGTGACAAATGGCCTGCAGATAGTCTAATCGCTCAAGCAAGTCAAGGCTGTTGAGCAGTTCCCATCACGGCTTACGAAACAGGATGGGAGAGTTCTATTATGTAGCTTGCTAAAATGCTCCCTCTTATCCTGCACCTCCGCCTATTTCTGTGCTGAAGCTCAGCCGTGTCAGGGCTTTAAACGAAAAGCACTCGGCACAGCTCATCGGCCATGACAGAGCACGCGCTCAACCGGTATTGGATGTTCTCTCCAGTTTCTCGAAAGGCTAGCTTTCTGAAAGGCAAGCCTCCCTTCTGTCTCTCACCGAAACTTCCTCTTCTTCTCAAAAAGTGTTTCTGCTCGGCAGATCTCACCTCATACAAGAGTTATGCACAGGAAATGTTTCTGTCAATGGTCAAGACCAGCCCCTTTTCCTGTGAGTGTGGTTGGCAGGGATTCACACCAACAGTCTTGTCAAAACTTGTTTTGCATGTCAGAGTCAGATATACGGCCTGGGAGACAGAGTCCTTCACTCCTCCAGCCTCAAGAATTTCTTGGGCCACTACACAGAGGCTGATTATCGGGTATGCTGATTATGGAGGCAAAATCCTGGTTAATCAGTTAACGGGTTAAACCTTAGGTTTAACCGGTTAACCGATTAAGCAAAATCCCACTCTTACCCCCTCCCGCTCTGCAAGGCAGAGGGGTCAGCAGCAGGAGTCAACAGTCCAGTGTGCAGAGGAAAGGGGCAGATTCTACTCCTGCCCTCCCTCCCCCCATGCGAGGGTGACCAGCTCCCAACCCCCACAGGGCTGGAGCAGTCCTCCACTTGTGATAGGGTGCTGCTCCCCAGTACCGGTTAATCGGTAGCTGGTAAGCATCATCCAGTAAGGGTACTGGGTAACTGATTAACCGGTTACTCAGTCACATCTCTAATGCTGATGAGTTTTAGAAAACAAACCCTTGGGCTCTGATGCACAGTGCTACATGATATAAATAACTAATTCATGACAATACTTGGCACTCACATAGTAGATAAGTCTGCATGAAACAAATTGAAATCATAAAGTCAAAATGAAATGTTTTTGCCTTATCATAGCAAAAGGAGAAAGTCAAACTGATTCATCTCGAGGACCTGGGGAATTATAGAATTACAGACTGGTCAGCTTAAACTTGAGCCCTGGAAAAAGACTGGAACAAATGATTAAACCATCGGTTTGTAAGTACCCGAAGGATAATAGGATTAGAAGGAATAGTGAGCATGGAACTCCAGCAGGACTACTTATATGGGTCCCCGTAGCAGGCTCATGAAACTTACATCCCTCTCTCAGCTAATTCACATGCAGCATCCATAGTCCGCTTGCCAGGCGACAGCCACTGTGATCAATGGCCTTTGCCATGCAGTGCTTGCAGCCTCAGCTGTAAAGGCTTCCAGCATTCCCAAAGGGGGGTAATAAAGACAATGGTGACTCTTCCAGGAAGGACCTGCGCTTTCCTCTCTAGAGGGAACCAGCTAGTACACAGCTGTGCTAGCTTACTCCAGTGTGTATTGGCAGCACACACAGGCATTCAGTGTGCAACATTCACTTAATAGTCTGCACACACAGCTACGCCGAGGCCTCCACTAACACAGTGGAGGGTTTGACAGGTGCTGAGCCTCCACAGCTCGACTAGCAGGTCTAAAACGTGCTGAGAGTTAAGCCTGGGGCATCTGCAGCCACCACACCCAGGAGGAAATGTAGGACAATGGTGGTTGGAAACTCTCTTCTTAGGGGGGCAGAGGTACCTATCTGTTGCCCTGTGACAGCATTCCATGGTGCCTTCTGGGACCTGTATTTGAGAGGTTAGAGCAGTGTTTCTTAAACTTTTTAAGACTGAGGAACACCAAACAATATTTCTTTTAATGGGAAACACCGACGTCGGAGGGAGAAAGGGGTCAACCCTTTACGCTCAAATTTGAATAAAGACGCTAATTATCTTACCCATTACAAAGATAGCTTCCCCAATTATCACCTCTAATATCATTAGCTCACAGACATTTACCTCCTCCTGTCCCCGTCCCCCCTTCATCCCCCTTCTGTTCTGAAATTTGATTTGTCCTTTTCATATGTGTTCATTGTTTTAATTGTATCCTTTGGTATAAAGGGTTGTGACAATTTTCTTCCACTATTAGATCTGAGGAAGTGGGTCTGGCCCACGAAAGCTCATCATCTATTAAACCATCTTGTTAGTCTTTAAAGTGCTACACAGTCCTGTTTTTTGGTTCTTTTCTGTGGTACACCTCCAACTGCCTTGTGGCACACTGGTGTGCCACGAAACACAGTTTAAGAAACACTGGATTAGAGGGATTGTTGAGGATCATCTGACTTTCTGACGATTCCCATGCTACTCTGCCCAGTGGGCAGTAATGAGACCGCGAGGTATGAACCTCAGCAGATCAGAAGTGACTACAGGGCTTTGGAAGTAGGAGGTGAGGGAATTTGGGGTGCAGGTAGCGTGCAGTTAATGGCAGGGGCCCAGGCAGAGACAGATGCATCCTGGGGTGAAAACCTAGCTGTGAAAATGGTGTTGCCAGGAGAGCTTTGGCTTCCTTGACCACAGGATGCTGTTCTGGGAATAAGGTCTGCTAAGCAGAGATGGGGTCCACCTATCAAGGAAGGGGAGGAGCCTATTTGGAAATAGACTGGCTAGCCTAGTGAGGAGAGCTTTAAACTAGATTCAACAGGGGCAGGTGACTTAAACCCATAGATAAGTCAAAAACACGGAGATGTGGAAGATTACAACCCGGAAGAGCCAGCGCAGAACGATCTGCGCATGCGCAGAACCGCGCGGCTGGCAAGTGGGGCTCGCTGCTGCTTGACGAGCCCTGGTTATGACATCTTATAGCCCACTGAGATGGAGGGATGGTCCACTTACTAGTCTAGGTTGCCCATCATGGGTCTAGATGGTGCTTGGTCCTTCCATATGCGCAGGGGACTGGATTTGATAACCTCTCAAGGTTCCTTCCAGTTCTATGATTCTGTGTGCTCAAATGCCTTCTGGATTGGGACCTGAATGCCTCACACTTTGCAGGATGGAGGTATGTGATAGTAAACTTTCTCCCCTGAATCAAGATTGCAAAGCAATGCTTGTTCTCTGGAGGGCTGTCCATGGGACCCAGGTATTCAAAGTCCAGGTTATTTATCTAACTCACACTTACAGAGGTAAGAGATCCCTGAGTTGATGAAGATTTTATGGTTACCTGGCAAGGCAACCCTATCAGTGACCCTGGGAAGAAAAGAAGTCCTAACTGGACAATAGCACTAACACCTTCACTCCTAATTTTTGTGTCACTGACACCCCCAGTTCTGAACCCACAAAGCCCATTATCACTAACAGGACAGCAGCCTGGTCTATTCCCGGAATAACTCAGTGGCTATAAACTCTGAGACAGAGCAAAGACAAGAAGGAATCAAATGGTCACAAAAAAAGAGGTTTAAATCAGGTTTGATGGCGCTAATACTTTATATCCCACCCGACGAAGCTCCAAGAACAAAATGCAATGAATTTTGCTAGAAAGAATGAACAATTCTGGGATGATTACACTCAAGGCTCTGCCTCTTCATCCCTTCGGACTCTTCCAGGCCCCACAACTGTAGTGATCTGAAAGGGAAAAAGGTTGCCTGTCCCCCTTTGCCATCCCAGTATGGTCTTCCAAAGGAGACAGCATGGCGTCTCGGAGCACTGGACTGGGACTCAGGAGATCTGCTGGGTGACTTTGTGCAAGTCACTTCCTCTCACCACGCCTTCATTTCCCCATCTGTAAAATGGGAATGACGACACTGACTTCTTTTGTAATGTACAGAGAGAGCTACACAGAAGAAGTCTAGTAGGAGAGCTAGGTATTAATCAAATGTAACAAGTAGTTATATTCCTACATTCGTCTAGTTTAAGAACTACTCCTGGATTGGCTGGATGTAGTGATTCAGATCAGGACATGTGATGTGTTCATTTGCATACCGGTATCCAGAATGACCTTCCAGCTCACAGCAATGGAAGCAGGTAGCCTTGGAAACCAATCAGACACTGCACACACATTTATGGATGAGGCATAGGCTTTCCCACTCTCCCCACCCATCTCTCTCCAGGAGGAAGGTGAAACAAAAAGCATCCTCACAGCACCCACGGGAAAGGCGTGCAAGGATTTGCAAACACCGAGCAGATTTCAATCCAGAGTAACAGCTATGAAGTGGGATTGAGGGCATGGGACTGTGCCCGGGTCACATGCACAGCAAGTTATGCGCAGGACAGGGAGCACAGAACTCCCTTAGTGAAACCCTGTTGCTTGGCCACACACAGCCTGCCTCATAGTGTGGGTGGGGCCTAAGAGAGGAACATATAGCCAAGCACCATGGGGATCAGTCAATCTCAGCTCTGTTCTGACAGACCCATTTGCTGCTCAACCCTCACCCCCTTTTTCCTCCAGGCTTTGTGGGGAAAAGGAGCAGTCGCACATGAAGTTTGAGACTCCCTGTTTCTCTGCCTAGCTGTAACCTCAGTTGCATTCAC